ATAACGTGTAAAGAGATATATAGATATATGGAATTTTAGGTATAAATATATACATGAAAATAAATATATACATAAATATACGCATGTGTGCGTGTGTGTGTGTACCTTTATTGTGTACGCATACCCGTAAGTAATCTGTAGCCGCATAAACTTATTCAGAGCCAATCTTCTCTGCCCACGTCCATGCCAATAGCTTCTGTTGATTGGGTCTGATGAAACTCCACTGAGATTGATTTTCTATTAATTTTGGGTGCCAATTGTACAACAATCTATGACCATCTGCGTTCACATACAGCTAGTCAATATCAGGTGTCCTTCCCTCTAGCAACAGCATAAAGGGCTCGATTACTGTTCAGGATCCACTGAAATCAACCCTTTTCTTAATTTTGTATACCGATACCGTTTTCAATTATTTTCGTTCCTCCATACTGTTCATCCTATATCCTATCAACAGCTTTGATGGCTCGGTTCCTGATGAAGCCCCAGTGAAATCGGTAGCCCACGCAATCAAGGATATCAATGAGAAAGCAAATACCTACGTACAGCCCGAGAAACACGCCATGTGTTACCATGGCAACGTAAAGTGTTGGTTTTGCATGGCTGTGCTTGGTCCACGCATGTGGGCGTCCAGCGGTATCAGGCCGTGCGGGTGTGATCATTAAATTATTTCAACCGCCAAGATAACTGATGTTGCATATGTGATCATATGAATCTACGTGTTCCTGAAATTTGTGTTGCAATTGTGATGGTTGAATTAGTTCGAGCCATAGAATCAGTGTCATCAATTAGTTCAGGCTCTCATTATGCATACGGGATTCACATGAGTGTCTGACTGTGCAGCTTGCTAAACAAAGGAACTTGTACGGGATCAGTCATGTTCTCTTGTTTTTTTTGTGGTCAGTACACATCATGCGTTTGCTGATTTCGAACGTGATCACGATTTTGGAGAATCGCACGGAGAATCGCTGCTGTTGTGTCATCGTATCCCATCAATCTTGTGTGCATAAATATATCTTTTTTGTGCGATGGAGATGCCTAAATTGTATATTGCAGTTATTTCTCGGACTACCACATTGGTCATGCTCATCAATCCAGACTCCAAACATATGCTAATAGTTCCAAGAAAATGGATAGATGTCATGCTTGTATCACTTGTACCAGATTTCTTGTTATTTGGGAGCACATCAGCATTGCATCACACCAGTACTTTTGTTCAAGTCTGTGTGTCCACGGAGACAAAACGTCAGCAGCATAAACTTTTAAAATATTTGTTGTGTTATGTGCGATCCAGACTTACTACTCCTACTATATATATATATATATATACATATATATATATATATATATATGTGGGTGTGAGTGTATGTGTGTGTATGTGTATGTATATATATTTATTATATAATATATAGTATTTTAATTTAAATTATATATATACATACATATA